AACTATGGGAATGGCAGGAGGCTCCTACAAGCACAGTGGGGTCCCGAGCCCCAGGAAGCAGGCTAGGGTCTAGTAACAACAAGGCCCAACCTAGCAAAGAGGCTAACAGCTTGTGGGCCTGTACAGGGGCTAGGCAAGCCCCTGGTAAGAGCTAGCAGGGACGGGGCCTAGGGCTCAGGTGAACCCAGTTGAGAGAAGGGCTGCTCCATTAAGATCTTCAGGGCTCTAAGCAAGCCCAAGGGGAGATGGCCGTATGCTGGGGCCCAGAAGGGCACCCCTGTGGTCCACAGAGGGCAGCAGAAGCTAGGCTAGCTCTCAGATCGCTCAACTGGTGAATGTAAGGGGACCAGGGCCAAAAGGCAATTGAGCCCACCACCAGGGCTGCAAAGAGCCATCTGGCACCCCAAATGGCCTGGAGGCAGGGTCAGGGCCTCAAACAGGCCAAAGGTCCTCTCAAGGGGGAGGACATCACAGCTGGCAGAGGGTAGGGGCGAGTCAGCATGCACACTGCTATGAAGGTGGCAACCAGTGGAAGGAGGCTGCCATAGAAGACCTAGGAGTGAGAGCATCTCAGGAACGCCACATAGCCCAATAGAGATAAGACTGGGGCAGGTAGGCCTGCTTGGTCCTGGGCAAGTCTGAAAACTGCACCCTGCCAGGGAAGGGTGGTCTAGTGGGGATGTCTGTGGCAGGACAGTCCCCCAGAAATGCCAGGCCAGTTACCTCCCCAGTGAAAAGTGGGTAGGCACACCTGATAACCCCATCCCCCACCATCCGATGGCGCATCAGATCAGAGGGAAGGAGGGCCAGGCATGCCTAGGCAGAAACACCTGAGCCCATGGAGGTGTAAGACCCCGGAGGATAGTAGGGCCAGGCACACCCAGGGAGGGGCACCCGAGTCTGTGGGGGCGTAAGACCCTGTGGCACCAGCAAGGGGGCAGAACGTGGACCCCAGAGAGGGGTGTGTGTGTGTTGAGGCCCCAGTGAGAGAGCGGGTGTGTGCTGAAGACCCAGGAAAGGGGCAGCTGGGCCCAGGTGAGTCTTCGGATGCCTAAGACACAAGTGGGCCCAAGGCCGAGGGGGGTCTAATCAGGGAATAAATTGAGTGGCCCGATGAGGGGCTAGGGGCAGGGTCAGTGAATTGGCTGATCACTGTTCAGATGAGGGTCACAGGAGAGGCCCAAAAGGCTGCACCAGGACCAGTCAAGGAGTGTAAGTAGGCAAGCCTGATGGCCATCCTACACGGTTGCACAAGTGTGCAGGGCAGGTTGGGTGTGGCTCAGTGAGGAGCAGCATGTAAGAGGCCTGGTGGGAGACGGCAGAGTGCAAGAGGCCCCAGTTAGAGTGGGGCAGTATGAACGAGGCCCAGTGGGGCGGAGTGAAAGGATGAATGAATGAAGCCAAGCAAGGGTCTGAGTTTGGCCCGGCTATGAGCCGGAATAAAAAGCAACTCAAGGATGCCATCTGCAAGGCATGGGACACAATAAAGGGAGGTCAGAGTCGTGTGGACACCCCCTCAGACAGCAGGGTCTTAAATGGGCAGTCTCCTGCTTTATTACGACCATTATAGTAACAACAAGGTGTGGCAGACGAGACCGGGAAGACTGACCAGGACAGGAGGGTAGGCTGGTACTGCGAGCGGGCCTCGGAGTTTGCCCTTGTCACACCTACCTTCTGCCTGACTTCAGACTAACAGACTATACTCTCCTGAATTCATGTTCAGTAACTTGGAACTGGAGAACTCTGTCATCCTACTAAAAAAATAAGTTCATCCTCAGGGATCTGGAAACCGAAGCACACAGGGAATCTCTGTGTATGAAAACAAGGAATTGTAACAAGTGATATACCAAAGAACAGCTCAGCACCTAAAGCTCCTGCTTTGCCATTTGAGATGTACAGGCCCTGATTCTGCTTTGAAACCTGCCAGCGTGGAGACATAAACTTGCATAGAGTTCCACAATATAAAAATGTCTCTCCTTAGGGCAGGGCTCCTCCATTGCAGGACTCAGGCCCGTGCTAAAACAAAACGTTTTGGAAAGACTCCATTGCTAAACCTGCACTGAGGAAAGCAGTGAAAGCTGAGACTACATCTCTGTTATTTCGGTTTCTGCACGTTGACAATATTTAATTTTTCCTGCATACGTTCTGGCTTCCCAACTCCATGTCTACTCATGTTATACCATAGCAGCACTCCCCATCATACAGAACCTCTATACTTTTTCCTTGCCCATTACCACTAATGGTAAGGAGAGGAGACAAGAAAAATACAAAACATGTTGCATTAATTTAATGGGAGGCCCGCTTAAAACTCCGTTGTGCAGGCAACTCCATTGTAGATAGTGAACTTACTATTGCTCTCTGCAGTTGGATAAACCCCATTAGTGCTACAAGTCATGCTTTTTCATCCCCAGGAGTCTGGGAACTGGGAAAAATCTCTGCATCTGTAGAGATTAGGAATGAAAGAAGGGAATGGAGTTTCATCATAACTGTGGTCTATTCCCTTAAATTTCATAGTATCCTGAATGCTGGGAGCTGTAAGGGAAGATAGGCAGAAACCAGAACAGT